GTGCCCCAGTCGTGCGTACTATGCACAGGGGTGGTCCTAGCAGGCAGAAACATCTTACAAACTCATGTCAAAATACTTCTTGTTCCTCTGAATAGAAGGGACCTTAAGGATCATCTCCTTCCAACCCCCCTGCCATGGGCAGGGACCTTCCACCAGACCAGGTTGCTCAGAGCCCCGTCCAACCTGGCCTTGAACCCTTCCAGGGAGGGGGCACCACAGCTTCTCTGGGCAACCTGCTCCAGTGCCTCACCACCCTTGCAGGAAAGAATTTCTTCCTTATACCTAATCTAAATCTACCCTCTTTCAGTTTAAACTGTTACCCCTCGTCCTGTCACCACACTCTCTGACAGAGAGTCTCTCCCCATCCTTCCTGTAGTACCTTCAGGTACTGGAAGAGGGCTGTCCCTTAGGATTATTCTGGATAATAAAGTGAAGCAAAATGCTTGTTTGAGTTTTACAAATACACAGGTATTGCCTTGGTAAAATTTTTCTGGTAAGGCAGATGGCTCCTCAAAGTTCATATTCATAGGAATAAAAGGATATATATTTGGGAAAAAAGAAAAAAAAAAAAAGCCTAATCACAAGGTCTAGTTTATCTGCACAGAGATAAAATCTTTCAGAAAATAACCTTGGCTTGGGACGGCATATCAGACTGCATTTTATATTTTGAACCTATTGCAGTACCATATTGTAAAGGATGAGGCAGATACCTAGTACAGTTGCATGTTCAGTGATCTGTTGGTTAAAGTAATTTCTTCTTGTTGTTTAAGAAAAAGTATGTCTTTTAAGTCTATGTTAATACTCCAGGGCTTTCAAAACACTTAGCAAGCCTGACATTTGCAGGCTGGTAGTATGTTTTGCATAATATCAGTAGCTTTTCTTTGTGGCCCATGGGAAAAAGAAATCCTTTTATTTTTTGTGGTGCATTCATACAGGCCCTCTGCCCATGATGATTGCAAGTGGAAACACTTATTGTCTTTTGAAATCTTAATTCCAGCAGGCCAGGTGTTTTGATGAAGCTTCCAGTATGTATCTAGCCAAAAAGGTTTTGCAAAGCTTACCTGAATTTTAGTCCATAAGTCAACTGTAGTTTTTGTAATTGTATGGAGCTCTTGATGGAATACATTCAAACAGATGCAAGAAATACTGTTTGATCTCTTCAGATAGTTAAATTGTGATTTCTGTTAACATTGCTTTGGCTTGCTGCACTCTGTTTCCTAGTCAATTGAGGATGAATTTGGATAGAGAAGCTGGCAAGGCTATGGTATTTACATAATGCCTTTTTTTTCTGTGAACCCTGAATGTGGATGGAAACAGTCTCTAATCTTCTTAGTGATCTAAGCAAAGATTGAATGCTTTGGGTCAAGCTGGGGTTTGGATGGGCTCAGTTTGGGGAAAAAAATTATTAAAAAAATCCTAGTTCTTCACAAAGATTGCAAATGGAAATACAGACTGAGATAGTTAATGTTTCAGTAGCAAAGACCACATAATTTGTTTTCAACCATACTTTTTGAGACTTCTTGGAAACAGAACAAAAAGCCCTTATATTGAGCTCTGGGCACTGTTTGCTTTCATTCCCCTTAGGATAGTCTTAAGTTGTGTCATGAGGGATGAAAAGGCAAGTGTCAGAATAAGCAGCATACAGACGCTTCCTTTCCATGATGAACTCTTAATGGCGGGACAAGACTGCAGTCCTGCTCTTAATCCTTCTTGCACCATGACCACTACGACATGGTAAGAGGAGGGAGGAGTTCATTAGGTGGCTGTCCTTTCGTATCTCAATTATTAAAACATTCTGACTGTGATTTTTGTGGTGTGTTACAGTAACATAGCTTTTCAAACAGCACTATCATAAAATTAAAGATGTGATTTTAGATTTTTTTTAAAGTGGATATATATCCTGAGCTCAAGCTAGAAGTGACAGTTCATACTTGATTTGCCTTGTCTGCCTAGATTTTACAGTATTTTTTCATGTAGAAGTTGTAACTTGTCAAGTGCTCTGAACAACATGCAAGTACAGTATATTACAATGAAGGGGGAAAAAAATCAGCCCGTCCTATTTGCATTTTCCTTTTTCTTCAGCCTTACCTTCCCCAGTCCAAAAATTTATGCTAAGTCACTTGATTTAATGTTACCACAAAGGGTTTTTGTATGTAATGCATCTTCACATACTATAAGATCACTCAGAGATTGATTTTTCAGAACATGAAAGTCAGCAGGAGCTGCTGGCCGCCTTTTAATAGCTGCAGCCTAACGTTTACAAACCAAATGGTTAACTTTTTATGTGGTTGCTTTTGTAACTAAGTTCAGCAGCAGCCGTTTAATTTTTTGTTGCTTTACTTCTATTCTATTATTACTCAATAATAGAATCAAGATTATATTCATCCCCTGCTTCAACTTGCCACTGCTGCATTTAATTAACTTTCTCAATATTTGATGCAAATTGTTTCTAATTAACATGCTTCTAAATAAAGAAAAGAAAGCATTCTTAAAAAGCTGTGTGCAATCTGTATAATAAATTTTATTCTCATCTATGAAGGCTTGTACCATTTTATGACCTTTTTGAAATTGCTGCTGTTGGTCCTCTTATTGTTATTCCTGTAAGTGGTATATTTTAGAATAAAACCTTTTTTATCTGTACTATAATTAATATCCAGAAATAGCTTACTGAAAACATAGTAAGGCAGGTAAGGACATGATCAGTTATTTAGAGAAAGGAACACAAATTAACCATACTGCGAATTTGGTCTTTTAAATGTTCTGACTTTTTCATTAAGTCAAGGGAAATATTTAATAGCTTCTATCTTTGTGGTATGGGTTGTCACTGTAGCAGTAGCACACATTAGAGGTGCATCTGTTTCAGTTTTTCTCCTTTTTTCTTTTTTTTTTTTTTTTTTTAATTGGTATAAGAAAATTTTGGCTATCATTGTAAAGCAGTATAAAATTTGAAAGGGGGGAATCAAGGGCAGTTTTGTGAAGGAAGGAAAATACACACACATGTATAAACTTTCCTTATGAATATTCTTTTTAAATAATAAAAGATCAACTAAAAGGAGATAGATAGATAGATAGATAGATAGATAGATAGATAGATAGATAGATAGATAGATAGATAGATAGATAGATAGATAGGTACAGTAATCAGAATAGGATATTGCAGGAGTCCAAATTGTGCTTGTAAAAACTTACCAAAGAAATTGACCAAATCTGATCACTGAGCTCTGTAGTGTTATACTAATTAGAAGAAATGAAAGATAACAAGGGGCCTATGGGCCTTAGAAAGCAACTTGTCAGTGAGATTGAGCCAATCTAAATCTGCCTGCGACCAAAAGCAATTGTTCAGCCCATCCTCCCTTCCCCACTCTGCCTGCGTGTTCCCTTTGCTCCTTTTTGCCTGCGCTACTACGTGTGTGTCCATGCCATGAAGAGTAATTGTCTCCTGCTCCTCTTCCTTCACATTGTTAATTTATGTCCGGGTGAGTAATCCTCTCTGAGTTAGGGTACGAACTCTGGGGCCAGCATAAGTGGACGCAAACAGCTGGAGGCCCCAGGACCACACCTTTTAGTGGCAGTATGGATTTAAATCAAACTGAAAGCGATATGAAAAAGCAGCCCAAGCTTTACATGCATTGTGCCCATTGTAACCACAGTGTTCACTGTAATAGCAGGAGAGATTTAGACAAATGTGCCACTGGGCTAATTAAGGGCTGTTCTCCTGAAGAGGCTTTTGTCTCAGGCTTTAGTTCTGGAGATCTGAATATAGCCACCTACTGCCTCAGGTTTTAGCTTATTCTTAGTTTTAGCTCTATAGCTATAAATACAGCTATATATATAATAAATAGCTGCTATAAGACCACAGTAACAAGACTAATTTTAAGGCCTTGGTCAGGATTTAATTTTATTTTAATATATACACCAGTATGATATATGATATGGGTGCTCTAGTTTCAGCTTTGAGGTTTGGGGTTTTGGTTGGTTTTTTTTTTTTTTTTTTTTGTTTAAAACTGTTTAGGGAACAAATTATAGATGTTATTTTGTTCTGTCAGTTTCCAGCCAAGATTTCCATGTTGAATACTTAGAGTTGATGGATTTGACACAGGGGAAAAGATATTACAACTATTAGCGTCAGTGCTGAGCAATTCTACAATAGTAGAAGCTGGATGTTCATGTTCATGAAGCTGGATGTTGCTCGTACCACTCAGGTCCTCTGTTTGAAACATTGAAGCTGGTTTCAGTGAAACTTCTCTTGTCAGAAATGGGATCTGCATGTTTTACTCTGAAAGCAACTCTGGACTGACTGCTTACAGTAGTTGTGAATGATTATTAGTGATTTGAGTAGGCTTTCGGAGTTTTGTAGCTTTACTGTGCATGAAATTATTTATCGGTGTTTCTTTACATCAGCTGTGCCTGTTTCTGGAAATGTTACTGAATATCTGAGGTGAAACAGTAAACGTACACTTCCGTGGCTCTTGCTGATTTTTAAAATTTTTGTAATGCTTGAAATAAATTATATCAGAGTTTCAGCGTGAAAATTACACTTTATTTTTTACCTTGCTTCACCTTCCATTCCTTCATAAATTGGTAGGGATGCAGTTCTCTTCCACATTCATATGAAGCTAAACAACATCAACAGTTAAAACTGGTTTGAATTAAGTACATTTTCCAAAAATGTCATACTGCAAGATTGCTTTTTTCCTCTTTACAATGTTTTTGTTTTGGTTTGGTTTGTTTTTAATGAAAAGGCAATGTCTTGGTTTTCCAAGTTTTCCAGGATGTGGTCAACCAGTCCCCTTACCATCCTTATAGAACTCTTCTCATAAAATAAAAGGTAGCAGAAGGTTTAGAAAATATACCCCAATTTCTGCCTAAACTTAAATGTCTCACGATGTTTTGTGCCCTAACTATTCCATTGCATTTGCTTTCATGTTATCTCATGCTCTGTAACATTACTGAAAGCAGTGGGGCATTGTTTTGATATTGCTATTTATTTTTCTCTCTAGCTGTGTGCTGCCCACCTGCCAACCCGATCAGAGGCACCGAACCATTATCAAGCAGTATGTCGGGCTCTGTTTGCTGAAACAATGGAACTGTACACTTTTTTGGCCAAAATTAAAAGTGCAAAAGAGGTAAGCATCTCAGAAGGTTTTATACTTTTGAGCTCATTACTGTGTGAATTAGGCTTACAAAATCACTTCTGTACCCAGACAGTAGTGAATGTCAGATGCTTGAGGAAATTATCTGTAGCGTTCAGGAAGAGCAGTTCTATAGCTGAAGGGTTTTTTTCCTTTTGGCCTGTAACCATTTACAGATGTCTCATAGGAATTGTTATTAATTGCAACTAGTCTACTTGGGAGTTAAACAGAAGTTTTTCTTGGGGGGTTACACATTGCACACATGCATCCATTTCCATTTGAGTCTAAAAACTTCTCTGGTGTTTCAGGGATGTTGTGAAGCGTGAGAGCTTTACTTGTTATTCCTCAGCTCCTTCTCAGCCTTGTCTTTGGCTGAGAATTATTCGAGACTGTTCTTGCTCATATTTTGTCCCCAGTCAGCCCCTTCCCTCATTTGTCTGTCACATAGGCTTCACAGCAGAGCCAACTTAAAAGAAAAAAGAAAAATTTCTGCCTGTAGGTCATGATGCTTATGTTCACTGCCTGCTTGGCTGTTACTGTTGACTGAAAGGCCATCCTATGAACCACTGCAGTTAAATAGTATGGCTGAAGAATAACTTTGAGGGGGCAGATGATTTTTAATGAAGGTAGTTTCAGTGATCTGGCCTACAGAATGGCTCCATAAACAATTGTATAAACACAGTGCGGGTGTTAGTTACGTTGGAAAACTGGTGGCTGAGGGGAAGGGCAGGAAGGGAAACATGCTTCCTAGAACTGGTTTCTTCACTGAAGCCAACTTGTCAAGTAACAACACTTTCATAATTTTTAATAAATCCCTGAAGGATTTTCTTTTGTAAGTCAAGATCTACAGTACCTTTGAAAAGCAGGATAAGGTTTTACAGTCTGATCTAAACATTTTGCTACTGAAAGAGGCAGAGCTGTTCCACCTACACACACATGCTCCCACTGTTTTCCTTCCTCTGGTTCTAGGAAACAAACACAGTAAACACCAAACAGAAAAGGAGTCATTCCTTATCAGGTTATTGAGCTGAATCAGCTCATTAAAGGGTCAGATGAGCCTCAGAGCAGCACAAGAGATCTTTTATCCTCACACTGGTGGTGGAGGGCGCAAACCAGTCAGAGGCATAAGGAACTGGTGCTGTCTTTCCTTTCTGGTTGAGAAGCATCTGTCCAAGGGGGAGAGTCCTTCAAGGATGATTTTTCTGTTGCACAGGGTCAAGTTTCACCCCCACTTTTCCTCCAGTCTGACTCAAACTGAAAGCAATTTTTAAACTGAAGCAGTATCATACAAGGATAATTTTGACAGTGTCAGCATGGTTAAAGAGCTACTTGTTTTCTGAAGTGCCTGGTTACAGTTCATCTGCACCCAATGCCCTTGATACAGAGAGCAGACAGGATGTGCTACACCCATCTCCTGAACCTTGACGTCATTAATTTCACATCTCAGCTTTTGACTGTTCCTTATATCCAGTGTTCTGACCACTGGATGTACTCATTGAGGGACCCGTACTATAAACATCTTAACTAACAGATATTGCAAAGTCCATGTTGAAGCTCAAAGATAAGACCCTTTGGAGTTTTTTCTGCTCAGAGAAGAATTATATTTCCAGTAGTTCTTGAACTGTCCACAGTAAGCAGTAATAAGGCATCTCTGTTGTCAAAGTAAAATACTGTGTTTTATAACCATTTAAAATTCAGTCTTATAATATTTTTTCCAAAAATTTATTTAAAAAGTAGAGGGTTGTTTTGAATTTGTAAATTACTTAATCATCTTGTAATTGGACATAAAAACCCAGCAACATCTAATCACACCATAGAGCATACTATGAGTTAATCCCAAATGAAAGAAACCATTTGCCTCTCAAAGGCTATTAGGGATTGATTCAAAGCACATTTATGTCAAAGGAAGTAATCCTTATAGGTGGAATTTTGGCCCTAATGAAATCAGTAAGACTTCTGTTGCTGCACCTAACCAAAGCCAGGATTTTGATCTTTTGAATTCATTTTACAGTGGATCAGTTCCCCAGTGGGCATACAAAAAGCAAGAAAATTATCTTACAGGTGGCTCCTGGAATCTGAGTATTTTGGTTTTGTGATGCACTTGATCCTTGCTTATAGCTTTTATCCAACTATAGATTTGGAACATATTCAATTTTGAAAATAAAGAAAAAAATAGATATGAAGAAAATACGAGGTGGAATGCTGCAAATCTTGTTGCACCATTTTAAAATGACCTCTATAGTTTATACTTGAGGCAAGCAGGAATCATATGATCACACTCAGTTTGTGCCAATAAAAGCTGTGATACTGTTTATATCCTCTTCTCTGTTGCAAATACATAGAAGAATCTTAATTCATGAGGAATACGTTTAAATACAATTCAAGTCAATAAATTCCTTTTTCTTTTCCTTTTGTTATTGTCATATCAGTATTGGGTATAAGGGAGAGAAACAATACTTCAGTAAGGATATTTTTTTTGTCATGAGTTACTGGTGATTGCACTGACAGATAACTGGAGAAAAAAAAAGTCAAGTTACATCAGCTCCAATTAAAAAAAACTTTTACTGTGTAATATTGTGTTTGTGACACTAAAGATGCCAGGAATTTTAAACTGTTAGTTTATGTCAAAAACTGACAGCTTTATTTGGAGATCTTCCTTCACAATCCCTCAGACCTATACACAGTTGTGGACGTGAGATCAAAATGAAATTAAAAACACTAAAAAGGGGGAAAAATCCTCTAAAATTAATTAAAATATCTTTCCTACTAATAAAAATTACTTTGAACTTCCTTGGATTCCTTTTAGGGCCACTGGATGGCATCTGGGTATCTGTTTCCCAGGTATACAAAGTTCATAGTTTTTATCAGTAAATGCTTAAACAGCCAACTTCACTGTGGTGGAAGAGGAACAATTTTTAACTGCAGAAATTCACTTACTAGGAGTGGACTGAATCTGACCAGTTTTATGCTACATCCCAGCACAAGTTTAGAAGGGAAATAAACTGTGAAAGAGGCAGAAAAATATTGTTGTGATGCTTTTTTCAATTTGGCACTATAAACACTTGTCAGGATTTTGAAAGTTACAGAATTTCATGAGGGATAAATCAGGAGGCAGGTTGGATAGGCCTGTAGGGTTGTAATATGTTTTGTTACTAATAAATAAACTGAGTAGTCATGTGCTCCCCAGTCCGTCATGTGAATATCACTGTCACGTAACAAACGGAGCATAGTTTCAAACAGGGTTTTACCGGCATGCATTTGGGTGAGTGCGTTAATCAGAATGATGAAGCAATGAGTGAGCTGTTCAGGGCATCTCAGTGGATGTCAAATAAAATGTTTTAGGTGCTTTGTCACGTACTTGTTGCCCTGTGGTTTTTATTTCCAGTCTGATTCCTTGTGAATGAAAGGTCAGCAGTAAAGCTGACTTGCAGACAGGGAGATGGTACTTCCATTCTTAAAGAGAATTAAATGTTTAATGTAGTAGATGCACAGGGCAGGACTCAAGTCAGAGTTGAGAAGGTGTGATACCAATATCGCAATAATAATAAAAAAAATAATAAATAGAGTAACAGTAGTAAAAAATAGGTATTTCTGTGGAATAGCAGCAGCAACTCCACAGTTAGGGTTGAAGTTCAGTTCACTAATCTGACTTTGTATCTTTTTTCAAACTGAAGTTCTTTTAGCAAGTTTACTGGAGTGTTTTTTCAGCTTGCTGGCAGCATCTGTATGCTGCTCAGGCTCTCTGAAAGGTGCCCAAAAGATCAGCCCTGCAGATCTGCCCCGGGTACCATCTGCTGCCACCCAGAAGTGATCTTTTGATGGGCCAAGATCTCCTCACTCTTGTCCTGCTGTTTAAGCATCTACAGCTGATAACAGAAATGGAGTACAGCTTGTTTCTCATCTCAAGCAGTGAGCTTTTAAAATTGCGATAGGAAAATTCCACAAAAAGGAGTAATCTCCCTTTGTTTTTGATTGTGTGTGGGGAAAAATGGGTCAACAAGGTGGAGGAAATGTATGTGTGTGTGGTGAGGGGGAAGATAGTTTAAATATATGCTAAAAATGGACCTCGTAGAAAAAAAAAGATTCATCTTTTTCAGGATCATCCTAAAGTCATTGAGATCACCTTTGTTGGGACCTAGCCATAGACAGAACTGTAGGCGCAAACAAGCAATGTCCTTGAGATAAAGCAAGTGTTCCTGCTGTGGAGTATCTGAAAAGGTCATGCATGTTGCTCAGAAATGGCATCAAGTGTGTCTGAGAGAGACAGGGAGAGACTAAGCAAGCATAGGAATGCAGAAATTGCTGTTCTGGATTGGACCGGGGTCCACCTGGTCCACTATCTACATTGTGGACCTGCTTTATTGAGGGAATATGCGCCCTAGTTCTCTTTCAGCTCCCTGTTACTGCCCAGTCTTGCCTTCTACTGGAGTTAATGCTCCACGTGCACTTACCGGCTGAGTGAGCCAGCAATGTGCCCTTCTTCCAAAGAAGCCTTACAGTCTCCTAGGCTGCACTGGGAGAAATACTGCCTGCGGGTTGAGGGAGGTGATCCTTCCCCTCTGCTCAGCACTGGTGAGACCACACCTGGAATGTTGGCTCTAGCTGTGGGCTCCTCACTACAAGAGAGACATGAACATACTGGAGAGAGTTCAGTGAAGGGTGAGGAAGATGTTGAAGGGCTGGAGCATCTCTCCTGTGAGGAAAGGCTGAGAGGGCTGAGTCTGTTCAGCCTGGAGAAGAGAAGGCTCAGGGGGATCTCACCAATGTTTATAAATACCTGAGAGGTGGGTGCAGAGAGGACAGAGTCAGGCTCTTTCCAGCGGTGCCCAGTGACAGGGCGAGAGCCAGCGGGCACACACTGAAACGCAGGAGGTTCCCTCTGAACAGCAGGAAACACTTTTTTACTGTGAGGGTGACTGAGCACTGGCACAGGTTGCCCAGGGAGGCTGTGGAGGCTCCATCCTTGGAGACATTCAGAAGCTGCTTGAAAACGG